TGTGTTCTGCGTGCTATGAGGGTGAGGGTGTGTCTGTGTGCGATGCGTGCGTTGCGTTGCGTTGCGTTGCGTGTGTGCGTGCGTGCGTGCGTGCGTGCGTGGGCGGGTGGGTGGGTGGGTGGGCGGGTGTGCGGATGTATGGGTGTGCGGATGTGCGGGTGTGTGGGTGTATGGGTGTGGGTGTGTGGGTGTGTGGGTGAGTGTGTGTGTGTGTGCGTGTGCGTGCGCGTGTGGGTGTGTGCGTGTGTGTGTGTATGTGTGTGACTGCGTGTGTATGTGTGTGTGTGTTGTTTGTGCTGGGTGGTTTGCGTATCATGTGCGTGTGTTCTGTGAACGTGTGTGTTCTCTGTGTGCTCTGTGTGTTGGAGGTGTTGTGAGTCTGTGCTTTGTGTTCTGTGTGTTGTGCGTGTGGTGGTTTGTGTTCTGTGTGCTATGTGTGTGTGTGTGCATGTGTGTGCGTGTGTGCTGTACGTCGGGTCTCGATGTTGGGCTGGTGTCTCAAGCGGCGCGGCATGGATTCTAAAACTCGTGTTGACTATGCGTAGCTAGGTGTTTGGAGGATGTCTCAGGCGAAACTGCACAGTGTTCTGAGAATCGGGCTCAAATTCATTGGAAACCATTGTGAGTGCTGTTGGACCGTGACGTCGCGATCTGCGTGAGGGGTCAGAATGTTGAGAAAGCTCCAAGCAACACGGTCACAAAAATAAACGCGGCTTCATAATTAATCGCCTGTGAGCTCTGCTTCCAGGGAGAGGTGCGTATGAGCATTATCAAGCACACCTCTCCGAGGGAGTAGAGCTCGGAGGCGATGAATTCCTTCCGCCTGCGATGTGTTGGCATACTCGATCGGGAAATCCTCGACGTTCTGAAAATCGGACGCACCCCTCACGCAGATCGCGACGTCACGGTCCAAACATAGGGCAACCCTTCAAACATACACCTTCGAACACACGATGGGATTCAATAGTGGTGCTGAGCCTTAAGCCCGATGTTTCGGACGCTGCAGTTTCGCGTGAGACATCCTGAAAATACTGGCCTCTTGTCAACACGAGTATTAAAACAAAGTCGTGTCGCGTGAGACATCATGCAAAACTTGAGCCCCGACGTGCAACACACGCACAAATGATACACACACAGAACAAACACACACACACACACACGCACGCACGCACGCACGCACGCACGCACGCATGCACTCACACACTCACACACACACACACACACACACACACGCACGCACGCACGCGCACACACACACACACACACACACCACGCAAAACACACTACACGCACAACACACATAGAGAGAACACACACAACACCTACAACAAAAAGAACACACAGAGAACACACACGCACACACACACACAGCATGCACACATCAGACACAACACACCCAGCACAAGCAACACACGCCCACAACGAACACAAAACGCGCACACACGCACACACACACACACACACACACCTAACACACACTCCACACACACACACACACATACACACACACACACACACACGCACACGTACGCAGAACATGCATAATTCGCATAGAGCACAGACATAGCACACACCCACACACACACACACAGCAAAATAAACGAGGCGTACCCAACCAGTTATCCACGCAAGGCAACTGTTTATCCGCCACCGTGCCTCTGGGCACGGAGTGGGCAGGTCCTCAGATCCTTTGCCTGATTCCTTAAGTCGCAGTCCTGACTCCTGACGAATATGTAATGGGCATCGCATCAGATAGCGGAGCGCCGCTCCGGTAATCGGTCTCGAAGCATGCACGCCGACGCCCATAATGCTCGGCGTCGAATTAGCGGAGCGCCGTTCCGCTAAATAGCCTCAGAACATGCGCGCCGAGTTCCAGAATGCATCGCGTCGGATCAGCGGAGCGCCGCTCCGCTAACCCGCCCAAAAATATGCGATTCGGGGAATGCTCCGCGTCGACTTAGCGGAGCGCCGCTCCGCTGATCGACCTCAAAGTATGCGCACCGACTCCCCAGGTGCTCCGAGTCGGATTAGCGGAGCGGCGCTCCGCTAATCCGCCTCAAAACATGCGACTCGCGGAATGCTCCGCGTCGGATTAGTGGAGCGCCGCTCCGCTAATTGGCCTCAAAGCATGCGCGCCGAGCCGTCGATTCCTGGAGTGCTCGGCGTCGGAGTACCCCGAGAGGTCCCCCACTGTGTCCCAACGAATATCTGCGAGGCCTCGCCCGCAAGAGGCCCCAAAGAGGCCCCCAAGAAAGGCCCCGGGAGGCCCAGGAACAGCCCAAGGCTTCACAACTGCTTCTAGGAGGCCCCCGAGAGGCCCCCCCACGAGATCCCAAACGAACATCCAATAGGCTTCATACCCAGGCTCAGTGGCGGGATGCCAGTTCCCTGCACCAGTTCCAGTTTCCAGTTTCCAATGTGATAACTCCACTTTCTGCTCCCTACGGTTAATCGGTACTGAACGCGCGAGGGAGGGGAGCCGAAAAACGTCCGGATTACCACGCCCGAATCGCGTGCTCTGAATTCCTGAGGGGGGGGTGGGACACGTAAAAATATATGGGATTCGCGCCCACGAGGCCATAAACCGCTTGCAGATTATACCAGATTCGCGTCCCCGAGGCCATACACCCTCGCAAAATACATATTTTCGTGTCCCCGAAGCTATAAACCTTTTATAAATCATGCAATGCTTGCGTCCCCGAGGCCACAAACGCTCGCAAATCACGCGGTATTCGCGTCCCCGAAGCCATACACCTTAGTAAATTACGCTATACTCGCGTCTCCTAGAACATAAACCCTCGTAAGTTACGCAATAGTTGCGATCCCGATGCAATAAACCATTGCAAAATACTTAATACTCGCGTCCCCGAAGCCATGCCGCCACCGCAAATTTCTCTATATTCGCGTACCCGAAGCCATCAACCTTTGTAAATTATACAATAGTCGCGTCTCCAAACCCATAAGCCTGACCGACGGGGTCAGGGTCGAAAAACCAATGAGATTTGCCGCATTTCTAAAATCCGGCTGCACCCCTCACGCAGATCGGCGGAGTCAGGGACGAACACCAATGAGCCTTTCCACATTTCTCCAATTCTGCTCAACCCCTCACGCAGAAAACCAATGGGATGTGCCACATTTCTGAAATTCGGCGGCACCCCTCACGCAGATCGGCGGGGTCAGGGTCGAAAAACCAATGGGAGTTGCCACAGTTCTCAAATTCGGCGGCAACCCTCACGCAGATCGGCGGGGTCAGGGTCGAAAAACCAATGGGATTTGCCACATTGCTGAAATTCGGCGGCACCCCTCACGCAGGTCAGCAGGGTCATGGTCAAAAATCCAATGAGATTTGCCACATGTCCGAAAGTCTGTGGGAAACCTGAGTGCACAGCATACGGGAACAGGTTCAAAATGTCTCTTGCCGATGCTGCTTCACGGCGGCGCCGAGGCCTCCTGATTTAGCTCTTGCATAGCCCATTATCCAGGAGAGGGGGCGGGCGGCAGGGGGCGAAGCCCTTACGGATATACATATATGTATTTATAAATTAGATATGTCTATATATCTACACATATACACAGATACACATCTACACGTATACATATATATACATATATACATATATACATACATATATATACATATGTATATACATATACATTTGTATATGTATATACAAATGTACTTGGAAATTCCTACAACACAACACGTTGCGAGATATGCAGAACTCTAAGACTTGTCGCATAACCTTGTCGGGCCACGCGCATCGCGCACCTGCGCAGGAATGAGCCACTGAAGACAACGCTATGCGTAACGTGACGTCCCAGCGATCTGCGCTCTGTGATGCAACAGCGTCGCGCGCTAAATGACGCGACGGCGCCACGCGCCATGTGGGCGCCCTGCACTCCACCGTGCCGCCCAGGAGCCTACGAAACTGGCGAGGGTTGCGCAGTTCGCAGCCACCAAGGGAACCTCGAGGCCTCAAATGATCTGCGCTGCCCTAACCTCCGCCGTGCCTTCCAGGAGCCCACGGCAGTGGCGACAATTACGCAGGTCGCAGCCAGAAAGGGTGCCGCGAGATCTTGGCTGGATGCACGTACTGCCCTATTCTGCCGTGCCACTCAGGAGCCCGCGAAAGTGGCGATGGTTGTGCAGTTCGCAGCCAATAAGCGAGTCGCGAGGTCTCGGCTGGGTCCGCATACTCCCCTACTCCGCTCTGCCTCTCAGCAGCCCACGAAAGTGGCGACGGTTGCGCGGTTCGCAGCCACCCAGGGAGCTGCGCAGGAGGAGGCGGGAGGAGAAGAAGGAGGAGTGGATACCGGTATGCTCTATTGAAAACGAGAACTCAACACGGGATTGTTGGGAATAAACAAGGAGGTAGGGGGCAGGAAGGAGGAGGATAATTGTAGGAATCGCGCCTGCTGTGCTCTGCTCAAAACAAAAACAATGCGAGAGGTTGGGGACATACACACAGCACATGCACACAACGCACGGTAGACAACACACATAACACACGCGCACACATACACACCTTACGCACCACACACACACACACACATCCTTCAAATGTGTTTGTATGGACATGGGCAGGCACTTGCCACTTGCATGTATCTCAAGCATGCATACACCCACCCACCCTCTATTCTGTCAGCCCGTCCACGCCCCCCTCCCATCGCGCGCGCGTCAACAATAATAACTGCCCTCCGCCGCTCCCCTTGTCGGGCGTTCCGTGCTCCCGTCCTCCCTCCGCGCCAACGGAGCGTAAAAGCAACCGCGGGGTAGGTGACACTTGGGCCCCATGAGGCTTCATCGCCCGACCGCCGTCACTGCACCACCCACACCCTCTCGCCATCGCTCGGACGTCCCTTCCCTGTGTTTTTGGTTCGGTTTCGTGCGTGGTTCTTTCGCCAGATGATCAAGGATGCTCCTCGATGGTCCTCGCCGAAGGAAAAATGCACACGTCCGAGCGATGCCAAGTCCTCGAGGAGAGGCCGCGCGCTGGAGGCGCAGGCCCTGGGCTCGGCGACGGGGGCGTCCGACGAGCGCGCTGCGGGCCCAGACCCCGCGCGAGACGAGACGGGGGGCGCAGGGCAGGCGGTGGGCACCTCGGGGCAGCAGGGAAGTACAGCAGCGCACGCTGCGAGAAGTACACGCCTCTCGGAAGGAGTAGGTGGAGACGTGAGGCAGGAATACGAGGCCGATGTGGCTTCACAGCAGCAATTCGGCCTCTGACTTTCGTCCTGGGTTCGGTTTAGTCAAGTGATGGATTTCGGGGTCCTTACGTGGGAAAAAACATCACTTCACTAATCTGGGGCCCCTGGGGCCTCAGTGGGCCCTGGGGCCCAAAATTAGTAAAAAGATTGTTTTCGGGCCTCGGACAGGAAGGCGGATAAAGTAGATTGGGTGCAGGCCCTCCCAGAGAATAACAGAACACAGCAGAAGCAGATCGATTCTTGCAGTCGGAATGCGCTTGAAAGAGACTGGGGTCTGGCTCTCCGAGAATACCTACTTTCAACGACCAGCGTGTATGTAAGACTCGTGCTGGGACACACCATGCGCTGGGCCCGCCCCAGCCGCCTCTGAACACCGCCAGGGAAGTCACCGGTGCTTCTGGCAGAAGGCTCTTTTTGGTCGCCCACCAAGATCTCGGCCACACCTCCTGAATAGCGAGCATGGCCGAAGACAAGCAAGGCACCGATGGAGAAGCGGGAAGAACGGACGTAAAGAATGGCAAAGACAAGAGCAGACCAGCATTCGAAGCCCAACGGAACACTCGCTGGAAACCACCACCACATGTCCACTGAACCGTTGCAGAATACACGGTTTGTCCGCATGGGCCTCTCCCCTGGACTACAGAGGCCCCCTGGACTACGGGTCACCCCAGGACGAGTGAGGTAAACCGAACATCGAGGAAGCCCGCCTGGCGGCGAGGCCGAAACTAGCTGTGCGCACAGCAGATGCCAAAACCCCTTGTCCCCATCACCCCTCTCTCGTCCCCACACTGTGATGGATTGAGAGTCCCTGGATCTTGCGCGTGGGCGCCGTATCCACGGATCGGGGGAAGCACCCCCCCCCACACCATGAGGCCAATGCCGCCTGCATCCGGCGACGAAGCGGGTCAGTGCTGTCTGGAAATTTGGCTCGTCGCTCGCCCACGCGTTTTGAGCCAGATTTGCGCATCCTCGACAGAAAACACGCCCCCGCGTCCCAATGCCGACCCCTCCCGCTCGGGCGCGAAGAGCCCAAAACGCCCGCACTGCGCTCCTCCACCTGGTCGGTTGATATCCGGAACAGCTGCTCGTCGAGCTCGTCGTTGTCCTGGGGAGACGACGGGGGAGGAGGTGGGCTGCCCTGTTTAATCCTTAGGAGGAGGAGGTAGGAGGTAGGACGTAGGAGGTAGGAGGTAGGAGGAGGAGGAGGAGGAGGAGGAGGAGGAGGAGGAGGAGGAGGAGGAGGAGGAGGAGGAGGAGGAGGAGGAGGAGGAGGAGGGGGGGAGGTGGGAGGAGGGAGGAGGAGGAGGGGAGGAGGGGAGGAGGAGGAGGTAGGAATTTGACTTTAACACTATTCAGTCTTAGTCGGCCTCCAAAGGGGCTCCTCGTCGCCACATTTGGATCCGTTCTGAAATTCTCGCCAGAGCGCACCCAAGAACAGGTCTGGGGATTGCCTCTTGACCCTGGACGCGCCGGCGCCCGCCTGCACGGCGCACGGGCCGCCTTATGGAAGGAGTAGGGCCCAGCTGCTATACAAGATTCCGCCTCCAGGGGCCTTATGCGAACCCTACCCCTACCCCCCACGATTTCTGAAGGGGAGGGTGGGGTTCACTTCGCTCGGGAGCTCCCGAACGAAGTGAACCCCACCCCTCCCCCCTCAGAAATCGTGGGGGGTAGGGGTAGGGTTCGCATAAAGCTAGCCAGCTCGAGCGAGTCAAGCATGGCATGCCCATTCCCACCCGCCCTCACTCAACATAAGAAACAGTGATGGCACAACTGGGGGTTTGCGCGGGCATTTCAGTGCGAGTGGAGGATACCCAAGGACCCCGCATTGACGTCCGCGCGGGACGTGAACCGCGTCCCATTCCCGCCACGAATTTCGCAACGTCGACGACAAGACTGGCCATGTTGAAAGGAACAACGGACACGTTCCGCCCTCCCACAACATAAGAAACAATGCTGGCGCAACTGGGTGCTGGCGCGTAGTGGTAGTAGTAGTAGTAGTAGTAGTAGTAGTAGTAGTAGTAGTAGTAGTAGTAGTAGTAGTAGTAGTAGTAGTAGTAGTAGTAGTAGTAGTAGTAGTAGTAGTAGTAGTAGTAGTAGTAGTAGTAGTAGTAGTAGTAGTAGTAGTAGTAGTAGTAGTAGTAGTAGTAGTAGTAGTAGTAGTAGTAGTAGTAGTAGTAGTAGTAGTAGTAGTAGTAGTAGTAGTAGTAGTAGTAGTAGTAGTAGTAGTAGTAGTAGTAGTAGTAGTAGTAGTAGTAGTAGTAGTAGTAGTAGTAGGAGTAGGAGTAGGAGTAGGAGTCAAGCTAGCCAGCTCGAGCGAGTCAAGCATGGCATGCCCAGTCCCACCCGCCCTCCCACAACAAAAGAAGCAAAGCTGGCACAACTGGGGGCCGAAGTCACACCGGCCAGCCGGTTTGGTACAGCTGATGCGGCCGCGATGGCGGTTGCCGACGGGAACTGGCGAGCGCGTGTTGAATGCCGCGCACGCATTGCCAGACGAGTCGAGAATGGCCCGGTACACCGCAGGAAGCCAGAGGTGGCCGGAGGAAGCCCGACGGTCTGACAGGACACCCCAAAGCATTTTTGTGAAAAAGCATTGGGTTTTTGATGTTTTTATGTTGAAATGCTTGCAAACACACGGTGTTCGGTAGGATTCTGACATGAACGCGCGAGTGTGCTCTTTGTGGCATTTTTTGCACAGGATTCGCGGCCTGGGTCCATGACAGAGCATCGCGAGTGCACCGCGCGATGACGTGAAATCGCTGGATTTGACCGAATTCTTAAGATTCCTATGGTTTTCCTATGATTTCAGCAAGAGAGCCCGGGCGGGAAATTTGTACAATTTTTGTGAAAAAAACATTGGGTTTTTGATGTTTTTATGTTGAAATGCTTGCAAACACACGGTGTTCGGTAGGATTCTGACATGAACGCGCGCGTGTGCTCTTTGTGGTATTTTTTGCAATGGATTATCGCCGTGGACGACAGGACGTCCATGTCGAGAGGAAAAAATAAGAAAAATGTTGATTTTGTATTGTTTTTTACAGGTTAGGATGGGACCACCCGGATGCGGCCCCTAATGGCCGGCCTGAGGGGGGAGTAGGAGTATATTCTAATAAGGAATAAGGATAGGAGTAGTAGGAGTAGAAGGAGAGTAGTAGTAGAGTAGTAGTAGTAGTAGTAGTAGTAGTAGTAGTAGTAGTAGTAGTAGTAGTAGTAGTCAGCAGCAGTAGTAGTAGTAGTAGTAGTAGTAGTAGTAGTAGTAGTAGTAGTAGTAGTAGTAGTAGTAGTAGTAGTAGTAGTAGTAGTAGTAGTAGTAGTAGTAGTAGTAGTAGTACTAGTAGTAGTAGTAGTAGTAGTAGTAGTAGTAGTAGTAGTAGTATAGTAGTAGTAGTAGTAGTAGTAGTAGTAGTAGTAGTAGTAGTAGTAGTAGTAGTAGTAGTAGTAGTAGTAGTAGTAGTAGTAGTAGTAGTTAGTAGTAGTAGTAGTAGTAGTAGTAGTAGTAGTAGTAGTAGTAGTAGTAGTAGTAGTAGTAGTAGTAGTAGTAGTAGTAGTAGTAGTAGTAGTAGTAGTAGTAGTAGTAGTAGTAGTAGTAGTAGTAGTAGTAGTAGTAGTAGTAGTAGTAGTAGTAGTAGTAGTAGTAGTAGCAGTAGTAGTAGTAGTAGTAGTAGTAGCAGTAGTAGTAGTAGTAGTAGTAGTAGTAGTAGTAGTAGTAGTAGTAGTAGTAGTAGTAGTAGTAGTAGTAGCCCTGAGTCGCCGAAAGATCGTTCCAAGACGCCCAAGATGGCCTCCAGACGGCCGTAGCGCCAAGAAACCGCGGGGAGACTCAGGAGGCCCTCCAAGAGCCTGAACAAGCAAAAACCTCCCAGGCATTCGTCACCCCAGGGCCTCCTGGAACGCCCCGGCGCCCAATGAATTGGCGAGCTAAAAACGTGCGCCGAGCCAAAGCGGGAGCGCAACTTTGAGAAAATTTCGCTCGGCGCCCAAGCGAGAAGGTCATTTCATTCACTTCGAGCGGGGGGGGGGGTGCCGCGCCCAATTCTTGCCATGCACTTTTGCGGGGTGGACGACAAGAACAGCTATGTGGGCAAGCGAAAATCAGCATGGCATTGCTTCTGACAAGTAAGGTGGCCCCTCCCGCCTTGGGGTTGCCCCAGAAGTCCGCGCGCGATGTGCGCCGCGCCCCATTCCTGCCACGCATTTCGCATCGTCGACGACAAGACAGGCCATGATGAAAGGAAAAACGGCAACTCTGTATTGTTTTTTACAGTCAGGATGGGAGGGCCCGCAGCCCGCATGGACGTCCGTGCGCGATGCGCGCCGCGTCCCATTCCTGCCACATATTTCGCACCGTCGGCGACAAGGCAGGCCATGCTGAGGGGAAAAAGCGGAGACTTTATATCGACTTTTTACAATCCGGATGGGCGGGCCCGGATCGACGGCCGCGCGCGATGTGCGCTGCGTCCCATATGTGCGCCGCGTCCCACTGTTGCCACATATCTCGCACCGTCGGCGACAAGGCAGGCCATGCTGAGATGAAACAACGAAGACTTTGTATTGATTTTTTACACTCAGGATGGGCGGGCGCAGATTGACTGCCGCGCGCGATGTGCGCCGCGTCCCATTCCTGCCACGCTTTTCGCATCGTCGACGACAAGAAAGACGATGTTGAGCAGAACAACGGCCACTTTGTATTGATTTTTTTGCAGTCCGGATGGGAGGTCCCGGAGTGGCCGCTATCGGCCGGATACGAGGTAGGTGGGGGTATATTCTAATGAGGAACAAGGATATGGCCTCCTAGCCTCGTCCTTCTCAGCGCCCCACAAACGGGGACTCCACTAACGGGTACTTTGGCCAGTGACCCAGCGAACCCAACCCTTCCCGATGCGGGCAACGCTGCATTGCCAGAAAGAGGCCCTAAAGTGGCAACTTTCGGCAAAATTTCAAAGTACTCGTTAGTAAGTACCCGTTACGGTGCCGTTGACCTTCCCCACCCCCACTGTCCCCGGAGGCCCCTCCAGAAAACCGTTTGCCGGTCCGCGCGGATATCCCAGAGGTTCGCTGGACTCTCCCCCCACCCGGCGCGCGGCAGGGGGCTCCAGCGCAGATCCCACGGGCCGCCAAAAGTGTATGTTATGCATCTTGTTTATCTTCGACCCCTCCTCCTCGATCCTCGATCCTCGATCCTCGATCCTCGATCCTCGATCCTCGATCCTCGATCCTCCTCCTCCTGCTCCTCCTCCTCCTCATCCTCCCCCTGCTCCTCCTCCTCCTCCGCCTCCTCCTCCGCCTCCTCCTCTGCCTCCTCCGCCTCCTCCTCCTCCTCCGCCTCCTCCTCCTCCTCCTCCTCCGCCTCCGCCTCCTCCTCCTCCTCCTCCTCCTCCTCCTCCTGCCCCAGGGGCCAGGACGACGACGACGCCCCCACGCAGTCCTCCAGCGGCTCGACGTACTTCAGGTTCCGCGTCACCACGTCGTCGTGCCTGTGCGGGCCTGCCCCGGCCCCGGGCAGGCAGAGGAGGGCGGCGGCAAGGGGAGGGGAGGGCAGCGGCAAGGGGAGGGGAGGGGAGGGGAGGGAAGGGGAGGGGAGGGGAGGGAAGGGGAGGGGAGGGGAGGGAGGGGAGGGAGGGGGGGAGAGGGGAGGGGAGGGGCAAGGGGAGGGGGGGGAGAGGGGAGGGGAGGGGCAAGGGGAGAGGAGGGAGGGGAGGGGAGGGAGGGGGGAGGGGGAGAGAGCGAGGGGGGGGGGGGAGGGAGGGAGGGGAGGGGCAAGGGGAGGGGAGGGAAGGGAAAGGAGGGAAGGGAGGGAGGGAGGGAGCGAGGGGAGGGAGGGGAGGGGAGGGAGGGGAGGGAGGGAGGATGAAGGAAGAGGATCGGGCCGGGCGAAAGGGAGGGATAGCAAAGGGGGGGAGGGGGGGGGAAGAATCAGCTCATCTATAGCTGATTCTCCCGGCGCCTCCCGGCGCCGGAGGCGGCGATTGTACCGAGGAATGGGCCCCTGGGATGGGCCGAAACCAGCTTCGTGCCGCAGATTTCGTACCCCCCCCTTTCCCAATCCCCCCCCTTTCGTCCGGCCCGAGAGGAAGGAGCGAGGAGAGGAGAGCGCAGCACTTCGCACAGTGTCACCGTCTGCGCCTCTTTACCGCTCGAGCTCCGCGGACCCGCCTCACGAAGCCGGAGGCGCCGCGTGCCGAACCTGGGGGACGGGGGTGGCGGGACAACCTCCCCCCTGGCGGGGACTGCTGGGGGTCCGCGGCTGGATGGAGACGCGGCCCACGGTGATCTGGCCTTGCTGGGGCCCGTCTGCGCCGCCGTGCGGACTGAGGCGCGGACTGAGGGAGGGGAGGGGAGGGGAGGGGAGGGGAGGGGAGGGGAGGGGAGGGAGGGAGGGAGGGAGGAGAGGGGAGGGGCAAGGGGAGAGGAGGGAGGGGCAAGGGGAGGGGCAAGGGGAGGGGCAAGGGGAGGGGCAAGGGGAGGGGAGGGGAGGAGAGGGAGGGACGAAATGGCACAACTTTTGGTCGGCGGGGCAAGAGCGAACCTCTTGCACTGAAAGCTAGGCGGGCTACGCACAGCTTTAATTAGGGAGACAGGGCACAGGCGGGCGGGGCCTCAGGCGGGAGGGACGGATGGCAAAAGAGAGGATGGAGGAAGAGGATCGGGCTGGGCGAAAGGGGGGGATAGCAGGGGGGGGAGAATCAGCTGACGTAGCTGATTTTCCCGGCGCCGAAATTGAAAACATGGTAGCAGCAGCTGGAGGCATCAGAGACTCTTCCTATCCCGCTCCCCCCCCCTCCTCCCCCTCATCTTCCTACTGCTTTCCCTCTGGGTTGGGGAGGGTAACGCGTCCCAGGCAAGAGCGATTTGCGACAGCGGGGCCCTCGAGAGGGGCAGCCAGCAGCAGCCATCGGGTGCAACACCGCCCTTGCAGGCACCAGCGACCAAGTACCTCGCTTTGAGGCGCCACTGGGCCTTCGAACCAATACCTGGCAACCCACAAGAGCCACTGTGCAGGGACACCTGATCTGAGAATACAGTCGGGCTGCTGGAATAAGGAACGCTAAGTAAGGAACGAAGCCCCTCTGTGGCTTCAAAAAAGCCTGGGTGCACGAGAATGGCTGGAGGAACAACCACGGAAGGACGTAAGGAACATCGAGTCCCTTCCGAATGCAAACTGTTCTTCATTTCAGCGTCTTGGCTGTACCGCTCTCGTATCCGCGGCCCCCACGGTTCCTCTCATTTTCCTCCCCGCGTCTCTCATGAGCAAGCCGACTCGCACGTGGCAATAAGAGCTGCAGCACGCGAGCAGGCGCCACATATTGGGTCAGCCACAGGAGGGAGTCTTATGCAGCGCAATCCCAGCATCATCGCCCTCATCCTCCTCCTCCACCTTCCCTTTCCCTCTCTCATTCCTCCCTTCTCCTCAACCTGGCTCCTCCTCCTCCTCCTCCTCCTCATCGCCCTCCGTCTTCCTTCTCCCCCTCCACTCCCGTTCCACCCCGATGCCTCCACCTCCTCCTCAAGGCCAGGGGCCCGCATGCAGTCATGACGGCCAATCTTGCGCCCCCCCCCCAGCTTCCTGTCACGGCGTCTGGCAGGCTGCCCTTCTCGTAGGACACCACGAACGGCCGAAACTGCCACTGCGGCTCCTCGTCTTGGGCGAGAGCACTGGCCATGCGAGGAGGGGGGCCCTCGAGCACGACCGCTCCGCCGCCGGCATCCATCCGTCAAGCGCACTGGAAATGTCTGACATGAGGATCCCTTAGTTTTACCAGCCTCGAACCTATCCCTATCCCTAAGATTGACACGCCGAAAGGCGATGACAATCTTAGGGATTCGCCTTCAAAAAATAAGGGAATCCCTAAGATTGGCATCGTGATGAGGAGGTGCCCAGCATAGGGATAGGGATATGTTCCAGTTCTTCCTCGCCGGGATGGAAACATCTGACAAACACGCGTGTTTCATGATTCGCGATAACGCCCCTGACGGCACCACCCGCCCCCCCTCCCTCCCACCCCGTAGTCACGTCACGATTCGCGCCAGAAGCGTCCAAGAATTCACCGCTCTCTCGTGACTGACCGGTTCTTCCCCCTCCCCCCCGCCTCCGGTCACGCCCGCACGAGCCAGGGGATGGAAAAACTATCTCCAACCATGCATGGTGCTGAACCCGGACCACCACAGGGCTCTCCGAGCTTGCCTGGCAAGGCATAGGCGGGGGGGAGGGGACGAGGAGGAGGGACGAGTGAGACGGAGGGAGGGAGGCAGGCTGGGCTCTGCCTGCGAGAAGGCTCGAGGCTCGAGCTTTGGCTCGTCTCGCCCACTCGGGACCTCAAGAAAAGGCTCCTCGTCGCCACGGCGGAGTTGGACCCGGCTTAAAGTTCTGGCCAGCAGGCTCGCCAGAACCTGTCCAGAAGGTCCCGGGGCCCAGCAACTGGGAGGAGAACCGGCCGGGACGACGTCAGCCGTCCCTGGCGCCCTCCGTTTTCTCTGCGGCTCCTGGAGGCCTCTCACGTGCCGTCGCTCGGACGTCCATTTCCCGTGCACTTTTCGGTTTCGTGCGCGATTTCTTTGGCTCGATGGTCCAGGATGGTCCTCGATTGTTCTCGCCGAGAAAACATGCACACGTCCGAGCGACGCCAAGCCCATCGCCAAGGCCGGACCCACCTCGAAGAACGGTCCAGGGTGCACCCCCCGAGAGGGGTCCAGGGGCTGGTTTCGATCGGGTCTGGGACGGGCGGGAGAGCTGCCCTCCTCTCAACTGGCCCTCCTCCGAGACGGTCGCTTCTTGCCAAGCAAATGAGTTGCAACTTCAGGAGGGTACAAGCTGAGGGGGGAAACAACGCGCGGGAATCGAGGATCGATCGCCGATGGATCCGCCATAGGCCGCCGATAGCAGATCCGCACGATCCTGGGAGGGGAGGGCTGTCGGGCCACGATCGGCGATGATTGTGCGAGTGGGGGTCGATGGATCCTTCCCTGGGCCTACCTCCCCCCTAACGCTGACCCTGACAACTGGGCCTCCTCCGAAACGGTGCTCCCTTGCCAAGCAGAGCGATTGATCGCCAAAAGGTTACCGGCTTTACGCCACATGGCCGCAGCGCGGCAGACAGATCGGTGCGACGAGGCCAGTGAGAGCAGCGGCGAGAGAGAGAGAGAGGCGAGAGATAGAGGAAGAGAGAAAGAGAGAGAGAGAGAGACAGAAACAAACACACGCAGGAAACACACACGAGTACTAATTACGCGCCAATCCTTGGCAGCACACGTCCGAACCGAACCTGCCGCAAAAGCACACGAAACTGGATCGTCATCGCTGCCCTGGCGGCATGGCCCGAACACGCCAACAGCCGAGCCTACGCCGCAAGGCCTCCGAGCGCGCTCGCGCCGTCCTTGTTGTGCCGACGAACAGGCAGTATACCGTCGGAGCGTTGACCCAAGGAACCCTAAATAGGGAACGAGGCCCCTTCTATCCACAAGCTGAACCTCGATTTCCCATCGAAAACCAAAACAAAACCCAAGGCAAACTGTGAAGCAATCAAGGAACACGGAGCCCCTCCCCAAGGAAAAGGGTTCCTTCTTCAGGGCCCCGACTGTACAGTCAAAAATCCTAATAAGGACGCGCGGTAAGGACGCAAGACCCTTGGAAGCCGAAGTTGGGATTACTGGGGCGACCTCAAGTACGCAAGAGCAAGGAAGAGCAAGGACACAAGGGTACCCTGAGCACAGTCGCGCGTCCTTATTAGGGTTTTTGACTGTAGATGTTTGGGCGATGCCGAAGAGAGAGAGAGAGAGAGCGGCGAGAGAGAGAGAGAGAGAGACCCAGACCCCCGACGGCACGATTGTTTAATATGAAGTCGGCCCCCAGAGTTCTCGAACTGTTCCCCTGAACCGGGTGTCTGATCCTGAGTCGAGTGTTGACAATCCCGAGGCCCGGTATGGTCCCCTGGGGGCCGAAAATCTAGAGCCACCTCCCGTCCTGATTCTTTCGCGACGCCAGGTGGCCTGGGGAGTGAGAGAGAGTGGACCAGAAACCAAACGACACCACCCCACATGCGACCCGGCGATGTTGAAAGATCAGGCATGTGCCGACCTGCGATCCACCTAAGACCCTACTGAGCCCTACCACACCACCCCACCCGCGACCCACCTACGACCGTGGGTCCTAGGTGGGGTGGCGTCGATTGGTTCTTGGCCGAGAGACGGCGCTCTCCCAGGGAATGCCGTTCTCGGGCTTGCTATGGATGTGCCGCATCTCCTCCGGGAGCCCGTTGACGGGGGCGCCGGCCTGCTGGGACATCGGCAGGCAGCGGCTGCCGCGGGGTCGGGGCGGGTCGAAATGCGCAACATCGGATCGACTGCTCCCGGGCACACGACTACTTTCAGAGGGGGGAAAGGTTCCGAGTCGGCCACCCTGCCCTCGTTTTTGGCTTCTTCGGGCCTCCTGGGAGGCCCTCGTCGCTACGCCTGGATTCGCCTCGAGATCCGGGTGAGAAAACACCCCGCGAGAGGTCTGGGGGTATCAGTAGCGGTGGAGGCATCGGTAGCGGTAGCGACAGGGGTCTGGGGTGGTATCCTCATACTTCGGGGTCCCAGGGTGTGGTGGCAGGCCGTACGGCGACATTGAAGTCCCAAGGGACCTCGCAGCACGCTCCGTCACCGCACGGTTTTGGAACCCCTGGAGGCCCAAGTCGCCCTGAACATCCTCGGAGAACAACAACCCGAGTCTCAAAACGGTGCGGTCACCCCGACTCTCCACTGCTCCACTGCGTGGTCACATCACATCTTGAGGGCCCACGGAACCACGCTGTGTGAGCATCGGGCCGCATCGGATATCGTTGGGCAATCGAAATCGAGTCCGATCGAGCCGGTGCACTCGGCGTCGAGTGGAACTGATCGAACCGAAATGGGCCCTGCCTGCGTTCCCAAACCTCTGGCGATTGCCCCTTTTGCAAAAATCCGCCAAGACCTCTTGTGGGTCTCCAGACGTGTGCGGAGGGTTGCTCGCCCACCGCTGTCCTCTCCCCGGGGACCCCAAACTGAGAATCGCACACCCACATGCTGGCCATCGCTCGGACGTCCGTTCCCTGTGCTTTTTTCGGTTTCGTGCGTGGTTCTTTCGTCAGATGATCAAGGATGCTCCTCGATGGTCCTCGCCGAAAAAAAATACACACGTCCGAGCGATGCCAAGCATGTGCACACACACACACACACACACACACACACACACACGCCCGGCCCCAGAGGGCCCAGCCACAGGCGCGCCGCGGAGGGCTCTAGAGGGCCCCAGGGAACGAGCCGGTGGAGCCCCAAGAGGCCTCCAAGACGGTCCCCGAGGGCCCCGGACGACCGCTGCAAGACGCCGAAAGTTGCCTCCAGGCGGCCCAGGATGACCCTGAGACTCCCCGAGCGCCTCCAATAAGCGATTCAAGAGCCCCGAGAGAAAAAAACATGGATGTTCCTCAGATGTCTGAGCGATGCTGGCGTGCTCGCCTTGACCTTGCCTCCACGCGCAAAGACAACCCGAGAGGCCGCCGCAAGCGCCTCGGGACGGCCCAGCAGGCCTCGGAGAGGGCCCCACAGCGGCCACCGAGGACCCCAGGATCGCCCGCGAGGGGTCTCAAGGACGGCCCAGAGAGGCCCCCAAGACGGCTCCCAGAGAAGGCCCCGACGGGAGGACTCAACGGACTTCGCTCCCCCCCCCCTTTTGATCCCCCCCTACCTGAAGCCACCCCCACTCCCCCACCGTTTTTGGCGGGGGCTTGGGAGCCCCCTCACCCGTTTGGCTGAAGGCAGGAGCGCCGAAGACCAAAGGGGCGCCGAAAACCAAGATAGCGCCGAAAACCAATAGGGCCACCGAAAACCGGAAGGGCGCAGAACCCAGAGGCGCGCCAAACACCGAAGAAACGCAGAAAACCAAAGGGGCGCCGATAACCAAAGGAGCGCGGAAAACCAACAGGGCGCCGAAAACAAAAGGAGCGCCGAAAACCAAAGGGGCGCCGAAAACCACAAGGGCGCCGAGAACCAAAAGTGAGCCGAAAACCTACAGAACGCCGAAAAGTAAAGGGCGCTGAAAAAACAACGATGCGCCGAAAAACAAAGGGCGCGGGCCGAAAAGTTCAAGGGCGCCGACAACCAAAGGGGCGCCGAAAACACAGAGCGCCGAACACCAAAAGGGCACCGAAAACCAAAACGGCGCCGAAAACCAAAGGGGCGCCGAAAACCAAAGGAGCGCCGAAAACCAAAAGGGCGCCACATACCAAAAAAAGCTCTGAAAACCAGTGGGGCGCCGAAAACCAAAGATGTGACGAACACCAAAGGCGCGGCGAAAACAAGAGCAGCGCCGAAAACCGAAACGGCACCGAAAACCAGAGAGCGCCGAAACCCAAAACGGCGCCGAAACCCAGAGAGTCGCCGAACTTGACAACGACGCTGAAAACCAAAGGGGCGCCGAAAACCAATAGGGCGCCGACAACTCAAGGGATACCAAACACCACAACGTACCGAAACCTAAAACCATGCCGAAAACTAAAGGGGCGCCGAACACGAAAAAAACAAAACGGCGCCGAAAACCAAAGGGGCGCCGAAAACAGAAGGAGCGCCGAAAACAAAAATGGCGCCGACAACCAAAGAAGCGCCGAAACCCAAAACGGCGCCGGAACCAAAGGGGCGCCGAAAACCAAAGAGACGCAGACAACCAAAAGGAGGACGAACACTAAAAAAGTGACGAACACAAAAAGCGGCGCCGAACAACAAAGATGCACCGAAAACAGAAAGGGCGCCGACAACCAAAAGGACACCGAAAGCCAAGGGGGCACCGAAAACAAAAGAGCGCCGAAAACCAAAGGGGCACCAAACATCCAAGGGGCGCCGAAAACGAAAAGGAGCGCCGCAAACCAAAGGGTGCCGAAAACCAACGATTCGCCGAAAACCAAAAGCACGCCGAAAAGCTAAAGGGGCGCCAGAAACGGAAGGGGCGCCGAAAACAACCGAAACTTCGAAGACATACAGGTCGCCGAAAACAGAAAAAAGGGCGCCGAAAACCAAAGGGCCGCTGAAAACTGCAGGGGCGCCGAAAACCAAAAAAGTGCCGAAAGTAAAAAAGGGCGCCGAAAACCGAGGTGGCGCCCGAGGCCAAAGGGGCGCCGAAAACCAACGGAGCGCCGAAATCCAAAGAGACGCCGAAAGCCGAATGGGCGAAAACCAACGGGGCGCCGAAACCCAAATAACGAAAAGAAGTAGCTTCGAAGCCCCCCCTTCAGCCAGGGCCCTCCAGCTGGAAAAGCCAACAGAAGGAGGGGGGTAGCTGCGGAAGCCCCGCCCTTCGGAAAGGGGAGCCCAGGCTTATCCTGGGCCCCAAAACGGAGGGGAGGAGGGAGGCAGCTTCCAAGCCCCCCTCGTTTTGTCAAGACCTCCCAGCTACAAAATCCAAACAGAAGGAGGGGGGAGATACCCTGAGACGCCCCCCCCCTCTTTGGAAGGGGAGGCCAGGCTGACCCTGGGCCCGAAAAGGGAGGGAGGGGGGGATCGCTTCCAAGCCCTCCCACCCCCTCCTGCTGGGGCCCCCCAGCTAAAAAATACACACAAAACGGGGGACGAGGGGGGGCAGCTCCAGGAGCCCTCCCCTTTTCCAAGGGAGGGGGGGGGGGTAGCTGGAAGCTGGAACCCCTGCGACGGGCGCGCTCTTTCACAAACCATTCCTCACCAACGTGCCAATCCCATGAAGATCAACGGCGCCTCCTGGAACCCAAAAGAACTGCCCCCCAAGGAAACCTGAATGCCCGTCGTCTGGGCGGCGACCGAGATGAACAAGAAGGAAAAGGGGCAAGAAGTGGTGTTGAAAAACGGCGGGGTAGCTAGCGGGGGGGGGAAGAGAAAAGAAAGGAGGGAAGAAGGCGACGAAAAGGGAGGATGACGACTAGTCTCGAAACACCCAAACTTCAAGGGATCGGCGGATGTGGCGCATGCCTGTAATCACACCGTTGGATGTTTGCCGTTCCTCGCCTTCCGCCCTACGGCTTCAGGAGCGCGCTCTTCTATTGAACTCGGGCAAGTCTGCGTGCGATGGTGTCTCCCCCCCCCCCCCTCCGCTGCCTATCAGCAATGCTGAGACAGGAGCAAATAAGTCTCAACTTGCGCGTTGTGTCCGGTGGTCCTTACGGGACTCGCCAGCCCACCCGCCCCTCCCCCATATACGATGAAATCAGGCCTGCTGGAGCTCGAGGAAAAAACACACTCCAGCCCGCCGCTAGCCACCAGCGAAAGCTACAGCGAAAGCACCAAGTCATCTGGTCGCCAGAGGAGCTCGGTGTACAGACGCCCGAGCTGTCCAACGTGTGGGACGCTGGAGCGTCTACGCACCGCATTCCTTCGCTGAACTGCTGGCTCCCTCCGGCCGACCAAACGACGTGGTGTACACATCCAACCTCTTCCGAGGCACCCAAACATCAACGTGGCTCCGCAGAATTCTGGGCCCCTTCCCCGAAAGATGTCATTCTCGTCCGGAGCCGTCTTCTCCAAGGCATGACAAGGGCACCCATGGGCCCATGGGCACCCAGAGGTCGAAAACTGCCAGAAACCTTCCGCCAAAAAAATTGTCGACGTCGCCATGGCTGTCAGGGACCAGCGACTCCGGTTGGACGACAGAGGGGAGTGGTAAGGGGGGGGTCCAAGCGAAGCAGCTCGCGCGGCTCATTCTCGACGGCGCCTCCCAGCGCCTGAGGTGCCCATGCATCGAGCAAAGCCCCCGGCAACGGGCTGCCGAAACCAGCTGCATGCAGCCAAATGTTTTCGATACGAGGCCCCCAGAAGTCCTGATCCTTTCCCCACAGGACCGGTTTGTGAGCGTTTTCTTATCCGGCGTTTCGACAGTGGGCGGAACGCGGGGGGGAGGCGGTATGGTAAAACAGGGCTGAGATCGGGATAAATCGCTCCAGAGCGTTCCGGAGCGCTCTCAGAGCGTTCCGGAACGCTCTGGAGCGGCCGCGGCGCCCAATACATCCTCCAAACCCGCCGATTCTCAGAGATCTCGAGTCATCCCGATCCGATTTTGTCCCGATCTTCGCGTCGTTTCATGTGGCTCCCGACCTCTGCGTCAAGCGACTGCTTGCAACAGTGCGTCCAGTGGGGGAGACTGCAGCACCGGCTTCCAACACGCGCCAGAAGCATCCGCGATCTATTGCGCATGGGGGGGGAGGCGGGGGCGAGGCCCCGCGCCGATCGACGACACGACGAAGAAGAACACGATCACTTCGAAGGGGCCCTGGGACACACAAATAGATACACACAAATGAAAATAATCCCCATATTTCCCCATATTTTCTGGCTTTGTGTCTTCCCCCCCATTTCCCATATTTTCCCATATTTTCTGGGGAAGCGCCGATTCATTGTGTCTGTGTGATTCTTTCCCTCTTGAACGATCACTTGTTCATCCCGAATCGTTCGCTGCTTTACGGGCCCAGGGCCTGGCGAGGGTCCTCGGAGGTAGAGAGCTGCCAAGAACCTCCCATTTCGATTTCCCCCAACCGCCCGACAGCGCCACCCCGCGCTCGACAGCCTCAAGGTGTCCAGGACACCTCCGCGGAGAGCCCCTGATGCCTCTGGAGGCTTCCCCTGAGATCCAGCGCTGCGACGAAATTGCAACTGCGCGGACCATCACGACAGGAGACCTAGACCTAGCATCTGTGTGCAGCATGTTTCGAGCCAGGCATCCTCCTTTTCCTCTTAGTCCTCCCCCCTTTCCCTCATCGGCACTGCCCCGGCTCCACCGCATCAGATCATGATGATGATGATGATGATGATGATGATGATGACGATGATGATGATGATGATGATGATGATGATGATGATGATGATGATGATGATGATGATAGTGGTGATGATGATGATAATGATGATGGTGGTGATGATGATGATGAGTATCAGCATCATCATCACCACCAAAAGCATCATCAACCATCATTATCAACACCACCATCACCATCATCATCAAAATCACCATCACCATCACAAGCATCATATCAGAATCCACATCAACATCAACATCATCATCACCATCGTCATCGCAGTCAGCATCGCCATCATGATCGTCATCATCATCATCATCAGCAGCATCATCATCATTAGCATCATCATCAACATCATCACTATCATCATCATCATCATCAGCAGCATCAGCATCATCATCATCATCATCATCATCATCATCATCATCATCATCATCATCATCATCATATGCGTCATCATTCCTTTCATCATACCATCATGCATCATAGCATATAAGTATCGCCATCCTCGTCCTCATCCTCATCCTCAGCAGCAGCAACAGCAGCAGCAGCAGCATCAACATCAGCATCACCATAAGCACCATCAGCATCGTAAATAAGAACCAGCATCATCATCGTCATCGTCGTCATCATCAGCAGCAGCATCAGCAGCAGCATCACTCTCCCCTGCTTCTCCCTCTTCTCTTCCTCCTCCTCTCCCTCCTCCTCCTCCCCCTGCTCCTCCTCCTCCTCCTCTTCATCATCTTATGCGCTTCATCCTTCCCAGTTCTCGCCCCTCCCCCTCATCCTCATCCTCCTCCGCCTGATGCTGCTGCTGCTGCTCCCCCCCCCTCTCGGCAGCCGGAAGCGATGGGAGGAGAGAGGCGGGAGAAGCAGGACGGTGGGAGCAGGAAGGAGAGGAGGAGAGAGGTGGGAGGTGGGAGGAGGAAGAAGGGAGGGAGGCAGCGAGGGAGGAGAGGAGGATCAGCGTAAACCAAAGGTGTACCAACGATGCTGGAATTAAAATCCCTCCAAATTCCCTCTTTATAGGCCCCGCCAAAAACACAGTGGGGGGAAGTGCCACATTGAAACACAACCTGGGACTTTAAAGCCAAGAATCAGCATGATTGTTGCGTCGAGACAATCCTCAATCGGACCAGAACACAATTCATGGAACTTCAGCTCGCGAATCAACGAGACTGTTGCTTCCTAACAATCCTAAGCCGTGCCGGAACACGTCCGAGAAAAACTGCCGCAACGTGTTGTAACGGCTGTGCGCGGCGCCTAATGCGAGAGCGACATATTGAAAGGGAACCGCCTCTCATGTGCGCATCTGCCGCAAACGTTCAAAACAAATGTGCGCGGCGCTCAGGCGAGAGGCACATTTTGAAAGCCACCCGCCCTCCATCCTCAACAATTTTGCACATCGAGTGTGTGCGGCCCGAAAGCGAGGGCCACGGTTCGATGAAAAGGAGCCGCTTCCATCCGTCAAACTGTTGCACACTCTTAGAACGAATATGCACGGCGCCGAAGCGAGATCTGCATTTTGAAAACGGTCCACCCTCCAACTGTGAAGCTGTTGCAAATTTCAAACTTCGGGATCATAAATGGCGATGAAGTCGCTAAGCGAAACGCCAGGCCACCCCTACCGAGACGCCTGAGGCAACAAGGGGATGGGGGAGGAGGATAAAAGGGGCCCTGGGACACAAAATCAATACACCCAAATCCCAGAATTCACTATGTTTTCCATATTTTCTGGGTTTTCGCCTTTCCCCCCCACTGTCCATATTTTCCCATCTGTTCCTGGAAACCGACGATTACTTGCGTCTGTGTGTTAGGGTGTTTTGGACGAGCCCTGAATATTCAAAGAGGCCCTGGGGAATCTCGTGGGGGCTCAAGGGGAGCTCCTGCACCCTCGCTTGCTCCTCATGCTCCTGCTCATCATTCTCCTCCTCTCACTCCTGCGCCTCCCCATCTTCCTTGCGCTAGGCAAGCTTAGATAACGGATCGTAACGTCTGTCCTCCTCCTGCTCCTCCTGCTCCTCCGCCTCCTCCTCCTCCTCCTCCTTTTCCTCCTCCTCCTCCCTTCTTCCTCCTCCTCCTTTTCCTCCTCCTCCTCCTCCTCCACCTCCTCCTCCTCCCTTCTTCCTCCTCCTCCTTCTCCTCCTCCTCTTCCTCCTCCTCCTCCTCCTCCTCCTCCTCCTCCTCCCTTCTTCCTCATCCTCCACCTCCTCCTCCTCCTCCTCCTCCTCCTCCTCCTCCTCCCCCTCCTCCCCCTCCGCCTCCTCTTCCTCCTCCTCTCCCCGAGAAGGCCGCCCCGTCCTCGGCCCAGAAGTGGCCGGTGCCGGGCACCAGCCGGATCAGCTTCGCGGGGCACCCCTTGTTCAGCTGCACGGCCGCGAGGCAGTACGCGGCCTGCCCTGGGCTGCAGGGGGGGGAGGAGTCGAGCGCGGGATGTTGGAGGCGCACGTCCGATCCGAACATGCAGGCGAACGTTTTCTGATTCGGCGTCTCGACGCTCGGCTCGGCGTTCCGACACTGGGCGGGGGGGTGGGGAGAGGGGGGTCTTTGAGCAGGGACCGACCGCCCCAGCATTCCTATAGGCCTGCCACGACATGATCGAGGAACCCGTAATAAATGTTCTCATAAGCGGAATAAGGTTCTTAGAACATGAATCCGACGTGCGAAAGCAAGACACCATCAGCCAGAAGTGCTTTTAGAACGTCGCGTGCGCCCTTAGAACATTGCTTGGTGGGCCTATAGGCATCCCACGACGCTTCGCCACTGCTTCAACTCTGGCCCTGGACCGGTGAAAGGGGAAGGGGGAATGGGGGGGAGGACGGGGAGGGAGAGGGGGAGGGGGGGGAAGAGGAATGGCGAGGGGTGAGGGGGAAAGGGAATGGGGAGGGGCAAGGGGGGGAGAGGTGAGGAGGGGGAGGAGGTGGAGGAGGGGGAGGGGGAAGGGGGGGAGGAGGAACGGGGAGGGGCGAGGGGGAGGAGAAGGGAGAGGGCCGACTGGGCGCGCTCGCGCCACATCCGACATCCTGCCCCTCCCATCCATCCCTGCCCATTGCGCCGAAGTTTGCTTCATCCGCCGGCGCGAACCATAGCGGACCTGGAACTCCAGAAAGGGTCCTGCCGCGGCATGCGCAATCAGGAGAAGCACGAAAGGAGCCGCGTACGTTCGAGGAAGAGGTAGGTGATGGATGAGCAAGAGCAGGAGCAGGAGGAAAAAGAGGACGAGGAAGGAGGATGACAAGGACGAACAGCAGCAGTAGGAGCTAAAGTGGAAGGAGCGGGAGGAGCAGGAGGGCCAGGGGAAAGCAGAGGAGGGGGAACGAAGGGGGCGACAACGATGAGGAAGGACCAGGATCCAGAAAAAATCCCCCCCGAGTGTTGTCGCATGACTTTTCCGGGGCCGAAAGGGACCCAAGACGGGCCAAGACCCCCAGGAGCTCGCCCAAGCGAGCCCCGAATCGCTACACGATCGGTGCAAGACGCCCAAAATGGCCCCAAGACGGCCCAAGATGCGTTCGAGGAGAGCCTGAGGGCCAAAATGCGCGACTTCGGGGCCCTCGAGTTTCAACTGGGGTCCTAGAGACTTTTCGACCCTCCGACGCCCCAACACGGCCCACTAGGCCTGCAAGAGGGCCCCAAGACAGCCCAAAGGGCCCCAAGACGGCTCCAACGACGCCAAAACCACCTCAAGAGGGTCCAAAGACAGTCCCAGGAAGGACCCAACAAGGGGAACACGAAGCGACAATCCGACTCTTCTGCCCCAGAAGAAGCTTCCAGGAGGCCCCAAGAGGCCCCAAGAGGCCCCAAAGAGACCCCAACAGGACACCATGAGGCTCTCAAGACCCTCCAAGGGCCCCCAAAAACACACACACACACACACACACACACACACACACACAAACACACACACACACACACACACACACACACACCAAAGGCCTCAAAACAGCCCCCGAGAGGGCCCCCGCGACATCCCAACGAACACCCCAAAAAACGATGGCCCACAACCCAAGCACGGTGGCGGGATGGACCGGAAGAAAATAAACCTGTTCGGCACGGGAACGGAAATCGCGCGCAATTCGCGAGGGCGCGCGATCGTTTCCTAGGATCTTGGAGCCCTTCTTGTATTAAGAAGCTGAATGCGTCATGCAGGAATCTGGGACTACACTTTGCGAAAATCGATGACTTATGACAGTTCGTAATTCGCAAATCCATGGGGGGCGCGCGTTTAGAAAAAAGGTTCCCATGTTCGGGCGAATCGCGGTGGCGGCGCCCGCGAAATTGGAACACAACGGCGGCGCCGGTGATTAGCGCCGACGCCAGGCCGCCAGCGAGAAGGCGACACAAACAGCACTGATTGGGGGAGAGGGCGGGCGGGAGGCAAGCGCGGCAGAAGCAGGGACCGTGAGCCAAGGCGACACGTGTTCGAAATGAAGAAAAACCGTTGTCGAGGCTCGCCCCCGTACCTTCCGTGGTTTTCTTGTCGACCCGATGCGCCTCTTTTGCCCTGGCCGCGAGCGAAGCGGGCTGGACGAAAGTGGGATTTGCCAAGCAGCTCACATTGCTGATTTTCCGAGCACGTCCCAGCGCCGAAAAAGGCCATGCATCGAGGACTGGCCCAGCGGCGGGGCGACCAAAACCAGCTGCGAGTAACACGTTTCGTAACACCCCGTTCTTTCCTCAGCCTTTCGTCCGCCACGAGCGAGGCGGGTAGTCTTCCTGCCCTCGTCTGTCGTGGTCTGTCCAGTCGTCGGCGACGACGACCTGCCCGGTCCACCAAGGCCAAAATCATCACAATAAGTATCGCCGCCGCCGCCGTCGCCGTCGTCGCCGTCGTCGTCGCCATCGTCGTCATCGCCGTCGTTGTCGCCGCCGCCGCCACCATCACCGCAGCCGCCGTCGTAGTCGTCGTCGCCGTCGCCGCCGCCGCCGCCGTCGTCGCCGCCGCCGTCGCCCTCGCCGCCGCCGTCGACGTCGTCGTCGCCGTAGTAGTGGCAGCAGCACTTAATAGCGGTGGGGTTGGTAGCGGTAGTGGTAGCAGCTGCAACTGTAGGAGTATCAACACCCGTAGCGGCAGCAGTGCCACTTTACATTGCTGTAGCTGTAGGAACGGCCACAGCAGTATGATGGTAGTAATAATAGTAGTAATGCCAATGCTAGCCCCACTATTCGAAATAGTAGTAGTCGTCGCAGTAGTAGCAAGTAGGAGTAGAAATAGTAGTAGTAGTAGTAGTAGTACTAGTAGTAGTAGTAGTAGTAGTAGTAGTAGTAGTAGTAGTAGTAGTGGTGGTGGTGGTACTAGTACTAGTACTAGTACTAGTACTAGTACTAGTACTAGTACTAGTACTAGTAGTAGTAAGTAGTAGTAGTAGTAGTAGGTAGGTAGGTAGTAGTAGTAGTAGTAGTAGTAGTAGTAGTAGTAGTAAGTTAGTTGTAGTAGTATAGTAGTAGTAGTAAGTAGTAGTAGTAGTAGTAGTAGTATAGTAGTAGTAGTAGTAGTAGTAGTAGTAGTGTGTAGTAGTAGTAGTAGTAGTAGTAGTAAGTACAGTAGTAAGTAGTAGTAGTAGTAGTAGTAGTAGTAAGTAGTAGTAGGTAGTAGTAGTAGTAGTAGTATAGTAGTAGTAGTAGTAGTAGTAGTAGTAGCAGTAGTAGTAGTAGTGGTAGTAGTAGTAGTAGTAGTAGTAGCAGTAGCAGTAGCAGTAGCAGTAGCAGTAGCAGTAGCAGTAGCAGTAGCAGTCGAAGCCGTAGCAGTAGCAGTAGCAGTAGCATCAGCAGTGGTAGTAGAGTAGTAGTAGTAGCAGCAGTAGCAGTAGCAGTAGCATTAGTAGTAGTAGTAGTAGTAGTAGTAGTAGTAGTAGTAGTAGTAGTAGCAGTAGCAGTAGCAGTAGCAGTAGCAATAGCAGTAGCAGTAGTAGTAGTAGTCGTAGTAGTAGTAATAGTAGTAATAGTAGTAGTAGTAGTAGTAGTAGTAGTAGTAGTAGTAGTAGTAGTCGTAGTCGTAGTCGTAGTCGTAGTCGTAGTCGTAGTAGTAGTAGTAGTAGTAGTAGTAGTAGTAGTAGTAGTAGTAGTACCAGACCAACAGCAGATAAGATCAAACCGAAAGTAGATACAATCACACCAACAGCAAAGATGATCACAAAACAGGTATGCTGGACCACGCCGGGAGTAGATAGGACCACACCATCGAGTAGATGCACCAGCAGTAGGTAGGACCACGTCAACTAGTAAATAGGATTACACGAAGAAGTATTTAGGACCACCAAAAAAGTAGATAGGACCACACCATCAGGTAGATAGGACAACCACAAAAGTACAGTGGAACACACCAAAAGCAAATAGGACAACACCATAAGTAGATAGGACCACAACCCAAGTAGGTAGGACCACACCAACGAGTAGGTAGGACCACCACAAAAGAAGATAGGACCCCGCCAACAGTAGATAGAACCACACAACAAGTAGATAGGACCGCGCCAAAAGTAGATAGGACCACGCCAACAAGTAGGTAGGACTACACGAAGAAATAGATAGGACCACCCCAAAAGTAGATAAGACCACACCCAAAGTGAATAGTACCACCACAAGAGTTGGTATAACCACACCAGAAGTGGATAGGACCACACCAAAAGTAGATATGACCAAACCAAAGTAGATAGGACCACACCCAAAGTAGGTAGGGCCACACCAACAGTAGATAGGACCACACCGAAGGGTAGTTGGGACCACCACAAAAGTACATAGTGCCACACGAACTGTAGATATCACCACACCAAAAGTACAAAGGAGCACTCCAAAAGCAGATAGGACATCACCCAAAGAAGATAGGATCACACCAACGAGTATGACCGCCCCAGCAGAAGATAGGACCATACCAAAAGTAGATAGTGTCACCCCAAAAGTAGATAGGACCACACCCAAAGTAGATAGGGCCACACCAAAAGTAGATAGTACCACCCCAAGAGTAGATAGGGCCACACCACAAGTAGATCGGACCACGCCGAAGGTAGATAGGATCACGCCGAAAGTAGCCAGGACCGCACCGAAAGCAGAGAGGACCACACCGACGAGTAGATGGGACCACCACAAAAGAAGATAAAACCACACCAAAAGCACACGGGACCATACCAAAAGTAGAGAGGACCGCACCACAAGTAGATAGGACCACACCGCAAGTAGGTAGGACCACAACAAGTAGATATGGACAATTCGAAAGTAGATAGGATCACATCAAAAGTAGATAGGACCACAGCAACAGTATATAGGACCACACCAAAAAGTATATAGAATAACACCAAGATTAGACAGGCCGCACAGAGAGTAGATAGGACCACGCCACAAGTAGAGAGGGCTACACAAAAATGGGTACAACCAAACCAGAAGTAGAGAGGACCACACAAATGGG